GCTGAGGCTGAGGCAGGCTGAGGCTGAGGCCGAGGCTGAAGGCAGACTGAGGCTGAGGCTGAAGCAGGCTGAGGCTGAGGCAGAGGCAGGCTGAGGCTGGCTAGGCAGGCTGAGGCTGAGGCTGAGGCTGAGGCTGAGGCAGGCTGAGGCTGAGGCAGGCTGAGGAGGCTGAAGGCAGACTGAGGCTGAGGCTGAGGCTGAGAGGCTGAGGCTGAGGCTGAGGCTGAGGCTGAGGCTGAGGCTGAGGCTGGCTGAGGCTGAGGCTGAGGCTGAGGCTGCTGATGCTGAGGCAGGCTGAGGCTGAGGCTGAGGCTGATGCAGGCTGAGGCTGAGGCAGGCTGAGGCTGAGGCCGAGGCTGAAGGCAGACTGAGGCTGAGGCTGAAGCAGGCTGAGGCTGAGGCTGAGGCAGGCTGAGGCTGAGGCTGAGGCAGGCTGATGCTGAGGCAGGCTGAGGCTGAGGCTGAGGCTGATGCAGGCTGAGGCTGAGGCAGGCTGAGGCTGAGGCCGAGGCTGAAGGCAGACTGAGGCTGAGGCTGAAGCAGGCTGAGGCTGAGGCTGAGGCAGGCTGAGGCTGAGGCTGAGGCTGAGGCAGGCTGAGGCTGAGGCTGTGACTGCGACTGCCGTTGCCACTGCGACTGTCATCTCGAATGCGACTACGACTGCGAGAACAGCAGAATTCTACAACTGGATTCTCATCCGAATCTTAAGGGGAATGCTTCCAGATATGCTCCTACACATCGCTGTTAGGTTGCTTTGCCGGGATAATTGCGCAAGCGTTTCGAGAATGCCCCATGGCAAGCTGGGTTGGCCATTGGCGAGGAGGTCTTCACATGTTGCGGGGCGCGCCACTCACCCACGCACAATGGTGGATGGGAGCTGGGCCAGATCGACTACATCGAGGCCCTGAAACCAATCTGCAGCGCCGAGCCCGCTGGCAAGTCCATCTGAGCTCGCCCCCGAGGACCTGGCCAGGCCGCGCCTCAGTCTGCTCCTGGCCTTGGCCTTCGCCTTCGTCGCCCGAGTCGATTTGCGCGTCTGCGTGGTAGCACTCCGGCGCCACGCGGCTGCTCCAGGGTGCGGCCGCGCACGCAAGCTCAACGCTCGCGTGAGATGGACTCCGCCAGCGCCACTACGGACGCGTTAATCCAGCGATGCGCTGCGCGGGTAAACCGGAGGCGCACAACGACGCAGCGCTCCGCGAGAAGCAGAAAGAGGGCGTCGACGCGGGGCGGGCACTCCGAGGGCCCACCTCCCCGCGCATGGGCGCAGGGGGCACGGGCGCCCAGAAGGGCGTTTGTTGGTTGACAATCGCGCCGCTTGCTGGGCTGGCAGCGCCTGGCGCTCAAGACGGCGACACAAAGCACCTTCGCAAGCGAGGTGATGGCCGCGACCAATTCGACGGATCACGGCCTCGCTCTGGCCGCGACACGCCGCGGATGCCCAAGGGCCCGCGCGGCCCCGAAGCGGCGCGCCCCCAAGCCCCTCGCACTGCCAGCGGAGCTCTGCTTGGATTCCGCGGGCGCGGCCACAGCCGCCACGGCAGCGAGACCAGAGCTCCTGGCAGACATTCGCCGTTGCCGCCCGCGCCCTGGCTCCGCGACCTCCTGCGTTCGTTCGGGCCAGTCATGGGCCCTGAGCTGGGGGGCGCGACACATGGTCGCGGACGGGCTGACCAGGGGCAGCATCGACAGATCTGCACTCGACGACGCAGCTGGCGGCCCCCGCCGGCGGTCACACACGCGCACGCACACGCACACCGCACACTGCCACCCTCAACGCGGCTGGCAGATTCACCTGTCTGATCAGGCCAGGAGCGCTAGCCGCCGACTGACAACTAACAGTCATCAGTCCACGGACTTCTTCGTGCACCATCTTCCCAAACCACTGACCACTCCCTGTCCCCATCTCATTAGGGAGGGTCGACGTCATGCACGCCGACGCACGACGCAGCACGACAGTCCAGGCATAGTTGTTGGCGGGGTTCTTTGGCACATTAGGATGCAGAACGCACAGTTGCGCGCAAGCGCGTGTACACGCGCGCAAGAGACATGGGATCAGTCAGGAAGTCAGAGTAGGAAGAAGCTGATTCCGCGGCCGTTTTTTCTCGCGGCCGGCGAGCGGGGCCTCGCGGCGCGGGTCGCGCGCTGGCGGGCCCGCGCACGGGCGACGTGCGCCGCCGCGCGCTGGCTCCCACCCGCTGCCGCGCGCGCGGCCGCACGCCGCGGGACAGGGCCCCTCTGCCTCCGACGCCGCCGCCGCGGCATTCGAGGACGGACCCATCAGCGTCTCCCACGGAAGCGCCACCCTCAGACGAGGCACCCGCGGCGCCCGGGGGCCGCGCAGCACTTCGCGAGCGCGCCCGGCCCGCCGCTCATCCGCCCAGCCGCCCGAAGGCATCGCCACCAATCGCGTCCAGGCCGTCAGGACTGCCGCCAGCAGCGCCATCACCGCGCGTTATCGCGGCCGCCCTCTGTCGCCCCGTCGGCCCCGCTGGGCCGCCGCGACGCCTGGCCCCGCGCGCGCGCTGCGGACCGCCAAGGCGGCGCCCGCGGCACCCCCCGCGAGCACCTCTTCCGCCCGAGGCCCGCGGCACTCGGCGAGGGGCCGACGCAGCGGCCACCGCGCAGCGAGGACGACGCGGAGGCGCGCGAGTTCCTCAGGGGCCGGCACATCATCAGCGCCCCCGCCCCAGACGCGGCGGCGTGGAAGTGCCTGTTCAGTGGAACGGCCATGGAGCCGACGATGCGGCCGCCTTCCTTCACGAGGCCCGTCGCGCCGCGGGGCGAGTGAACGACGCGCGGACGACTTTCGACAACGAGGCCATATCGGTGCCGATTGCGCTGCTCACCGCCAAGTTGTTTCAGGCATGGTCGCTTCGCCTCGAGGACAGTTCAAGCGCTGCAGGCACTGGCGGTCGGTCGACCTCGGCACCTGGCACGGCCGCGGCCAGGATCCGCGCATTCCCGCGGATGAGGCAGCCCTATGGCTGCCCACCAGCAAGAGCTGCCCGCGCGAGCTGTCCCCGAGGTCGCCGCGCCCCCCGCCGCCGCGGGTCGAGCGCGCGCTGGCCGCGCATCCACGATGCTCCCCACCGAGGTTCCCGCCGCATCCGCCCGAGCAGCAGCGGGGCCGGGAGATGGAGTTTCGGCAGCGACGCAGCCCTCGGCTCAGGGTGGCGACCATCTCTGCCGCGTTCGTTCTGGCAGCGCGCTGGCAGCATGGCGCCAATCGGCTCACGTGGGCAAGCAGCAGTCGCGACAGGCAGGCGCAAGGGCAACGGCAAGAACAAACGCAAGGTTCAGAGCAAGCCCAACCGCGACAAACCGAAGAAAAAGATATGGGGCGCGGGGGCGGGAAGGTCAAGCGTCTGCGCGCGGCCGCGGCTACGGCGCTCGCAGCAGCCAGCGACGACGACGATCGCAAGTCCTCGCAGGGCAGCACCGCCCCAGGCGCGCCCAGCGAGGAAGCGAAGATGCATCGAGGCCGCAGCAGCTCCCAGTTTCAGGACGACTAAGGTGGTGAGCCCGAGGCGATAGTGCAAAAGGAGTGCACGTCTCCCATGGACACCCTCCATCCCTCATCTTTTCCATTTTTCCCGGTAAAGGCGTCGTCGCATTTCAATTTCGCCTCCCCACGTGACCCCAGGGCCATCCACCATGCACGATTCTCATAACAGGCTTTCAGACCTTGTTGTCCGCGGCCCAAGGTCACCAAACAGACAGATGCGACCGTGCCGAAATCACGCTATTTCTATTCGCGTGAGCTCGTCCAGTGCCACTTGTAAGAGCACGATCGAGTTCCCCAATATGGGTGGGCCCACCTCCCGCCGTGCCGCGCGCAATCAGGCCAGACAGCGACGGGGTATCCCGGCTGATTCTAGAATGTGCTGGGGGGGTGGACAGTTCCGGCTCCCGTTCCTCCTGTCCTGCGTCTCCGCCAGAGTTGTTCGATCGCCCGCGCAATCCCGACTCGAAAAAGATGCTCCGCTACCGTTTGGCTCTAGCGATGGCGCGCACCAAACAAATGTGTTGAGTGAAAAGCCCGCTATCTACACCTTGATGCCGCAATGTTGTCTGTAGTATTGCTTCGAAGCACCACAATTATAGTGCCTCCGGGCGCCATCTTCTGACGAGCACAGGGCCTCGCTGGACCCCCAGCCGGGCCAGCACGCCCGAAGGGAACGGCAGGAAATCCGCAGAGGCCAGCTAACAAAGGGCACGTGGAAACGCCGGGTGGAAGGCTATGCGCTGGCAGGGCGGGGAGGAGGAGGAGAAGGAGGAGGAGGAGGAGGAAGAGGAGGAGGAGGACGACGACGACGCCGACGACGATAAAGACAAGGGAAAGGGAAGAACGCGCGGACGAGCACGAGGATGACAGGAGCGGGACGAGGGAGGGTTTTTGGCACGATGGGGGGCCCTGGAGGGCGTCGGGTCGGGCGGCGTCCCTTCCTGGTATCGATGGATGCTGGCTTGGGTTGCGGCATCCCTGCTTTTCTGTGGAGTGGCTGATAATACGAGTCTTCCTGAATATTGGTGATGATGACGACGACGATGATGATGACGATGACGATGACGATGACGATGACGATGACGATGATGATGATGATGATGATGATGATGATGATGATGATGATGGTGATGATGATGATGTTCATGATGATGATGATGTTGATGATGATGATGATGATGAGGTTGATGATGATAATGATGATGATGATGTTGATGATGATGATGATGATGACGATGATGATGATGATGATGATGATGATCATGATGATGATGGTGATCAGGAGGAGGAGGAGGAGGAGGAAGAGGAGAGAGGACAGGACCAGGAGAAAGAGGAGGAGAGGAATGAAAAGGGTCAGGAGGACAGGCGGAGAACGGGGGAGGCGAGGGCGGTGGCGAGGACGAGGAAGAAATGAAGGAGTTTGGAGGGGGGGGGCGGGGGGAAGGCGTAGGCGGAGCGGCTGCGCTGGCGGCCGTAAGAAGCCTACGCACGCCCAGCCACCTGAACCACCTGGGCGGCGTGTTTGCACGCGACGAGGGCGAGGACCGCGTGCTGCCGCCTCGCTTGCAGGAGGAGGATGAGGATGCGGAGGAGGGTGCGAATGAGGACGAGGATGCGAATGAGGACGAGGATGTGGATGAGGATGAGGATGTCGACGAGGACGAGGACGAGGATGAGGATGAGGATGTGGATGTGGATGAGGATGTGGATGATCATGGTGATTATGATGTTGATGATGATGATGATGCTGATAAATGATGATGGTGGTGGTTGTGGAGATGCTGATGATGATGATGATGATGGTGATGGTGATGGTGATGGCTGTGATGCTGATGCTGGTGACGTGATGGCGATGGTGGTAACGGTGGTGATGATGATGTTGATGTTGATGCTGATTATGATGATGACGATGGTGACGATGGTGATGACGAGGATGAGGATGAGGATGATGATGATGACGATGATGATGATACTGATGGTGATGATGTTTATGATGATGACGATGAGAATGATGCCGATGCTGATGATGGTGATGATGACGATGATGATGATTGTGCTGATGATGGTGATGGTGATAGTGATAGTGATAATGATAATGATGATGATGATGCTATGATGATGGTGATGATGATAATGACGTTGACAATGATGGTGGGGGTGGGGGTGGGAGTGTCGTGGTGATGGTGATGGTGGTGGTAATGATGATGACGACGTTGTTGATGCTGATGGTGATGCTGATTATGATGATGATGCTGATTATGATGATGATGGTGACGGTGATGATGATGATGATGATGATGATGATGATGATGATGATGATGATGATGATGATGATGATGATGACGATGATGACGAGGAGAAGAAGGAGAAGAAGGAGGAGGAGGAAAGAGAGGCGGAGGAGAGGAGGAGGAAGAGGAGGAGGAGGAGGAGGAGGAGGAGGACAGGAAGAGGAGGAGGAGGAGGAGGAGACGGAAAAGCAGAATCATCAGCGTCGCAGCGTCACAGGAGGAGGAGGAGGAAGAGGAGGAGGAGGAGCAGGAGGTGGAGGAGTTCGGGCCAAGTGTGCCCGATTACCGACCGACGCCACCGTCATCATGTCGTCCTCACTTTCCTGTTGGTCGCATTGCTGGTAAGTGGGCGTGGGTGTGAGTGCGTCGTTGATTGTTCCGTGCTGTCAGGAGCAGGCAAAGAAGGGGTGGGAGAAAGAGGAGAGACAGCCGATGCGCCACTCCACCTCGAGCGTCTCCAAGATCAGGGAGGAGGAGAGGAGGAGGAGGAGGAGCAGGGGAGGCCAAGGACCCCTTCTTGGGTCACGAGATGGTGGCGGATTTCAAAGGGCATCCCCTCTGGGGCAAGTTTCGCATCGTCTGTCGCTGCTGCCATCACTGCTCTTCTTCGTCTTCCATCTCATTGCATTTTCTTTGGGGATACTTGTGGCAGGCAGCGTTCACTCGAACACGGATGTCTTCAGGCTGCGTGCGTTTGAGGAGGAGGCGGAGGAGAAGAATAATAATAAGAAGAAGAAGAAGGTGTAAGAGAGAGAGGGGAGACAGTCGGGGAGACAACCGATGTTTCTCCACCTCGATCGCCCCTCCGCATTACACACCGGGGCATCTTCGTCCGCCCTCCAGCACTTCGGCGGCGGGCGCCCGATACAGGCAGGAGGAGCAGCAGCCGCGCACGACCAGTGCAAGACCTGATCGTTGCGGTCGGTAACCTTTGTTCGGCGTGTCGCGACGCCAGTTCTGGCCCCCCACGCCTCGGCGCGGAACGCGGGCGCGAGCGCGGGCGCGAACGCAGGCGCGGGCGCGGGCGCCGGCGCGGGCGCGCGACAGTGGAGGCGAGCGCAGGCGCGGGCGCGGGCGCGAGCGGGGGGCGAGAGCGCAAGCGCGGGGGCGGCCGCGGGGGCGGGCGCGAGGGCGGGCGCGGGCGCGGGCGGGGTCGGGTAAACCCCTCCCGAAGGGGAAGAAGGGGGTTGAGAACAGAGCGGGCTCTCTAAACCACTCACGCCCAAAGGGCTGGTGGGATTCTTGGCGCAGCCAAGAGCCGCTGAACTCAGATCCTGGTCTTGAGGAAGAGGAAGATAGGGGCGCAGCCAAAAGCCGCAGTAACTGGTGAATTGGAGGAGGAGGGGGGGTGGGCGGCCCTCTGGAGCAGTGCTGTCTGCTCTGAGTCCGCTCTTTCTTCTTCCCCGAGCGGTCTCTGAGGTGGAACCTCCGTCGCCGCGGGGGGGTGGGTGGAACCTGCCGCTGGGGCTTCGCAATCACAGTCTGCCCCCCTGCGGGGGGAGGGGGGAGGCGTGGACGGTACTGGGATCAGGACGGGATCCAGGGCGGCGCCAGGGCGAGCTCCATTCCCCTCTATATCTGGCTGCCGTCCTCCGCGGGGCAGAGGGCTAACGTGTGCGCCGCTGACGTCGGCCTTGCGTTTGCCTCATCTGCGGGGGGGGGGCTGATGCCTGTGGGGGGTCCGCGCCTGATCTGGATCTGGGTGGGGGCTGATCGAGAACAGTGACTGGGCCCCCGCGCCCTGCACTGAAGGATCACTGCCTCCATCCCCATCGTCAGGCTGATCATGCATGGATCTGAGCCGCGGGCCACGACAGCGCCGCGAGCGATCTGGTATCGCGGGCGCGCGTAAACGAAGCGGCGGGGCCCAGGGCCGGGGGGGGCGCGGCGCTGCGCCCGGGCGCCCCCTTGAGCGCGGGAGACTGGCCCGAGGGAGCCAGGCCCGCAGACGGCTTGAGCCAGAGGCTACGGAGTGGTGGTGGGGGAACGCGAAGCGTCAAGAATTTCCCTGCCCCCAGGCCGCCCCAGTAATTAAGCGGATGCTGCCGCAATCATTTGAAAGCTAGGGCGACGAGCCTTCTCTGCTTTCTCTCCCACACCTGTGGTTCTCGTCTGAGCAGGTGCCCGTTTTATTTTCCCGCGCGGCCCCCACGCGCGGCTATTGAGCAGCTGCGCGCGCGCGCCGTAGCAGTTGACTTGTTTTCTTCATTGTTTAACGCCTGCCGCGGGGATTGAGGTCAGGACCCTTCATTCGCAGCCGAGTCCCTCAAGGACCGCGCGAGGCAGGCCGCCGTCCGCCAGTCAGGTGCGGTGCCCTTCCTCTTGCTCATCCTGCTGCTCATCCGCCACGTCTTCCAATGCACGCAGCCCCCCTAGGGTGTCATTGCGTCGGGGGTTCCAGGTTCCACTATGACACCCGTCGGCGGATACAGACATATCAGCAGAAGGCGCACTTTGGGCAGCGACTGACCCCGCCAATGGGGATGCAGAGCACGCGGTGGACGCTGCCTTCGTGGACGACGAGGCGTTTATCTTGATATCCCGCTCGGCGCACGCACTCAACGCTGCCATCGAGACGCTGCTCCAGACTGCCACATCGGTGTTCGGCAATTTCCATCTTGAGGTCAATTGGGCGCCAGGCAAGACGGAGGCCCTACTAGCCTTCAGAGGCCACGGAGCGGCGGCAGCCGGAGAACGGTGGAGGCAAGCTGACAGTACGCTTAAGATCCCCGCTCCCACCGATCCGCCACTTTCACTCACGATCGTGCAGTCGTACAAACATATTTGCACGAAGACCGCTGCCTCCGCCGAGATACACGGCAACACCACCCTGCGTGTGAAGACGGCGATGGACGCATACATCCCGATTGCGTACAAGATGTACGGAAATCCCCACAGCTTCACTCCGCACAAGAAGAGTTGTTTGCGCAACTTCTTCAACTCCCGCTCGCTCTTCAACGTCCAGATCACTGTCCCAGGGGCTCGAGATCTCGTTGTGCACAACAACTGCCACATGCGACCCCTGAGACGGCCTGTCGGCGACATGCGGTTGTTTCGCGATGTCGGGCATTCCGACTTAAAAAAACGACGCCTGCTGAACATACCGTCCATCGAGTGCCTCATCGCGAAAGCGAGGCTACTATATGCACGGCGCCTCAACAAGGTGCGGCTTCGCGCGCTACTCGGTCTGCTGCACCCCCGGAAAAAGTGATCGACGCTTACCCTGGGTGCAGTGCCTGGCCCACGCTTGTGACAGGCTACGACTCCACCAGCTCGTGCCCGAGCACATGGCCCCGTTGTCCGACGACCGTGACGGATGGCACGGGCTGATGCTGTCAGAACGTTGGACTGGTTTTATTTAATCGCTTCGCTCATGCCGCCGGCCCTGGAGCCCTCTTTAGGGCATCTTGGGGGCCTCTTGGGGACCTCTTGGGAGTCTCTTGGGGCTCCTTGGCGGCGTTTTGGAGGCCCCCAGGGCCTCTTGGGGGGCTCTTGGGGGTAGTCGATTGCGGCTCCCCCCCCTCGGAGGCCACGATCCTCGTGAGGGGTGTCCGGGCTGATGCTGTCAGAACGTTGGATTGGTTTTATTGACAAGTTTGTTTCTCGTCGGGGGCATCACTGACCGCAAGGAGTCGGCAGACGACAGCAGCTCTAGTCGGCACCTTGCCTTTACATGCCCGCGGTGATTGTTCGTTGTGCGTCGCAGCGCGCGCTGGAGTCCCATGCCTGGGCTAAGCATGGAAACCGCTTACTCGTCAAGCGCTACGCACAGGGTACAACTCGCCCGTGCCGCGGTACAAATTACCGCGATCGTTTTGGTGGCACACCTGCTTGACAGTCGTAGACCTCGTTGTGCCTCTTGGGTAATGGCCAGTGTGCAGCCTCTGCCGAACGGTCAGTTACGGGCCTCTGACGCAGCCGATCGCAGGGCGCGTACAGATGCGCAGCGTGCCTGCAGCGCGTCGTGTTGATGGGAGGGCCACTGGCCGCGCACGAGCCTAACACAGGCTTGGTGTTCCCCCGCTGCCTGGAGACTATCACCCCCGAGGCAATAAGCAATGAGCACAAGGAGGGGGAACGGCCGGGCGGGATGGGGTGTCAGATCTCGCGCGGTCGCACCTAGCTTGCCCCTCTCCCATATCCTCTTTGTTTTCCCTTCTCTCTTTCGTGTGCCTGCGGCCCATCCCGCCGAGTTCGCTGGCCGCCCCGTCCCTCGAGAGAGGCCTCCCTCCCTTCAATCCCCCGTGCGTTTTCCTCGCGGCCCGCCCCCTGCAGGGCGACCAGATCTGCAGGGGCCTGATCACGCTCGCCGTCTTGGCGGCCACCGTCGTCGCCACCGCCGCTGCCGCCGTCGGTGCCGCCGCCAAGTTGGCCCGACATCGGCCTCCAGATGCCTCCCGCCAGGAGCAGAAATAACGAGCGCGCGTGAGCGTGAGTTCTCGTGGGTTTCGGGAACGCGCGTGGCGCGAGCGTTCGTAATAAAGTGAGATTGACCTCACAGACTGGGAGCTGCATTTTGGATGGAAACAACGCACGCGAAATTGATCCGTCGACAGGAGGAGTGCTCAGAAATAGTAGCTTAAATCATGTTATAGAAATATACAAATAGTTTTTTACACATATTTATATATATATATATGTACACATCATATCGTTTTACACCTATATATGTCATTGTCCTGGAGACATTATTGCGTTCGCTCCCTCGACTTGAACGCTTCTTTACGGAGTTCGGCGCCATATCTGGGCTGCGATTGAATATGCGAAAGTCCGTTGTGGTCCCACTCGCGAAGGCGCCGTTGGAACAGGACGCGGCGTCATTCCTGGGGCACGCCGAGGCCTGGAAAGACATGTCAGTTCATGAGTCGGCTAAATATCCGGGCTTTGTGCTGGGACCTGGCAAGGGCAACAAGACCTGGCATAACCCCCTGGCGAAGTTCCACCGGCGTGTCCACATGTGGCAAGACGCCCCGCTTGGGCTGCATTGGCAGGCTCGGGTCTTCAACACTTGCATCCTGCCCACGCTCTTTTACGTGGCTCAGTTGGAGTGGCCCGACAATTTCGTGCAGGAGGAGGTGCAAGGATAGCGGGTGACAGCTGCGCCCTCCGCGCTCTTCCGGCTGGCCTCGGGCCCCACTGCCTGGGCCTCCCCCGCGGACTTGTGGCTCCTGCGGGACGCCTTCGGAGGCGCCGCGTCCTTCCACAATCTGGCATGGATGGCTGCGTCTTCCCAGATGCGGGTCCTGCACTGCGACAGGGGCATCGACAGCCAGCGGCAGTTCCGGGAGGACTGTGCCCAGCTGCGCCAGGCGTGGGCCAACGCAGATGCTTTGCATTGGATCGATTGGTTTTCGCGCAGCTTCCTTCTCCGGCTCCAGGACACCGACGACGACCTGCAGGGGCGCTTCGGCGAGGTAAACGAGGTCCAGACGGCCCGGCGGGCCACCACCGCGCCGCCGGCGGCGGACGCGTGGTGGCGCAAGCAGTTCCAGTCCACGTATTATGACCGCCACGTGGCCGACAACCTGGGCGACCCGGAAGGCCGATTCCGGGGGAAATTGGGAGTCTGGAGCTTGGGGGACGCCGGCGTACACGGACAGATTCCGCATACTGTACTCCCGCCGCCGGCTGGGTATCCTCTTTGGCGTCCACCCTACCCAGCCAGATACCCATCCAGCGGCCGCCGGATGGGTATCCCGCAGTGCCGGCTGGGTACCCGACCCATCCAGCAGCCGCCGGATGGGTATCCCGCCCTGCCAGCTGGGTACCCCTACCCATCCAGCGGCCGCTGGATGGGTATTCCGCCGTGCCGGCTGGGTACCCCTACCCAGCCAGCGCCCGATGGGTATCCCGCCGGATGGGTATCTGAGCGCCCGGCCCCCCGTGCTGCCGCCGGATGGGTATCCCGCCGTGCCGGCTGGGTACCTCTACCCAGCCAGCGCTGGATGGGTATGCCGGTGGATGCGTATCTGAGCGCCCCCCCCTCAAGGCTACCGCCGGATGGGTATCTGCTGGGAGCCGGCCTGGTACCCCTACCCAGCCAGCGGCCGCCGGATGGGTATCTGCCGGGAGCCGGCTGGGTACCCCTACCCATCCAGCGGCCGCCGGATGGGTATCGGAGCCAATTGGTTACTCCACCCAGCGCCACATGAGTACGCCGCCGGATGGGTATCTGAGCGCCCCACCCTCAGGGTTGCTGCCGGATGGGTATATGCCGGGCTCCGGTTGGGTATCCCTACCCATCCAGCGGCCGCCGGGTATCTGCCGGGAGCCGGCTGGGTACCCCTACCCATCCAGCGGCCGCCGGATGGGTATCGGAGCCAATTGGGTACCCCTGCCCACCCAGCGCCACATGAGTACGCCGCCGGATGGGTATCTGAGCGCCCCACCCTCAGGGTTGCTGCCGGATGGGTATCTGCCGGGCTCCGGTTGGGTATCCCTACCCATCCGGACAGCGGCCGCCGGATGGATATCTGCCGGGAGCCGGCTGGGTACCCCTTTGCCGGGAGCTGGTTGGGTACCCCAGCCGCCGGAGAGGTATCTGCCGGGAGCCGGCTGGGTACCCCTATAGGATCGGTATATATGCCGGGAGCTGGTTGGGTACCCCTATATACCCATGCAGCGGCCGCCGGATGGGTATCTGCAGGGAGCCTTCTGCTGGGTACCCACACCCATCCAACGCCGGATGGGTTTGCCGCTGGATGGGTATTTGCGCGTTCCCCTCTCAGGGCTGCCGCCGGATGGGTATCTGCCGGGTGCCGTCTGGGCACCCCTACCCATCCAGTGGCCGCCGGATGGGTATCTGCCGGGAGCCAGCTGGGTATCCCTGCATCCAGCAGCCGCCGGATGGGTATCTGCCGGGAGACGGCCTGGTACCCAGCAGCCGCCGGATGGGTATCTGCCGGGAGCCGCCTGGGCACCCCTGCCAGCGGCCGCCGGATGGATATCTGCCGGGAGACGGCCTGGTACCCTTACCTATCCAGCGGCCGCTGGATGGGTATCTGCCGGGGGCCGGCTGGGTACCCCTACCCATCCAGCGGCCGCCGGATGGGTATCTGCCGGGAGCCGGCTGGGTACCCCTACCCATCTAGCAGCTGCCGGATGGGTATCTGCCGGGAGACGGCCTGGTACCCCTACCTATCCAGCGCCCGCCGGATGGGTATCCCGCCCGGGCCGGCTGGGCACCCCTACCCATCCAGTGGCCGCCGGATGGGTATTTGCCGGGAGCCAGCTGGGTACCCTTACCAATCCAGCAGCTGCCGGATGGGTATCTGCCGGGATACGGCCTGGGCACCCCTATAGCCAGCCAGCGGCCGCCGGATGGGTATCTGCCGGGAGACGGCTTGGTACCCCTACCTATCCAGCGGCCGCTGGATGGGTATCTGCCGGGGGCCTGCTGGGTACCCCTACCCATCCAGCGGCCACCGGATGGGTATCTGCCGGGAGCTGGCTGGGTACCCCTACCCATCTAGCAGCTGCCATATGGGTATCTGCCGGGAAACGGCCTGGTACCCCGATCTATACAGCGGCCGCCGGATGGATATCTGCCAGACGCCGGCTGGGTACCCCTACCCATCCAGCGGCCGCCGGATGGGTATCTGCCGGGAGCTGGCTGGGTAACCCGACCCATCCAGCGGCCGCCGCCGCCGCCTCCGCCGCCGCCGCCGACGACGACGACGACGATGACGACGACGACGGCGAAGACGAGGGCGACGACGAAGGCGACGCGGGGCCAGGTAAAGGCCCTCTTCTGGAGGGCGAAAATGGTCAAACACCTCCCGTCGTTTTTTTTGACACGGCGCCGGGGGGGGGCTTGGTTTTCGGGCACTTAGTTACCTCGGGCCTCTGGCGGCCTTTTCGGGACGATTTCCGGGCACATCCAGGACGCCGCCCTCGGCGAGGCGCGGTTGCCGGAGAGCACCCCGCGGCGAGAAGACCTCACCACAGCCTCAGCCTCAGCCTCAGCCTGCCTCAGCTTCGGCCTCAGCCTCAGCCTGCCTCGGCTTGCCTCAGCCTCAGCCTCAGCCTGCCTCGGCCTCAGCCTCAGCCTCAGCCTGCCTCAGCCTCAGCGTCAGCCTCTCAGCCTCAGCCTGCATCAGCCTCAGCCTCACTCTCAGCCTGCCTCAGCCTCAGCCTCAGCCTGCCTCAGCTCAGCCTCAGCCTCAGCCTGCTCGGCCTCAGCCTTTCAGCCTCAGCCTCAGCCTCAGCCTCAGCCTCAGCCTGCCTGCCTCAGCCTCAGCCTCAGCCTGCCTCGGCGTGCCTCAGCCTCAGCCTCAGCCTGCCTCGGCCTCAGCCTGCCTCGGCCTCAGCCTGCCTCAGCTCGGGCATTCAAAATATGGCACATAACTGGTGTTCTGGGAACACGAAGATTACGAAATGGCCTACAGTTGGCTCCGGGTAATCAAAATGTGGTACAGGAATCGTGTTCTGGGAACACGAAAAACACGAAGTGGCTTACAGTTGGCTCCGGGCATTCAAAGTGTGGCCTGGGAATGGTGTTCTGGGAACACGAAGAGCACGAAGTGGCCTACAGTTGGCTCCGGGCAATCAAAGTATGGCCTGGGAATGGTGTTCTGGGAACACGAAGAACACGAAGTGGGCTACAGTTGGCCCCGGGCATTCAAAATGTGGCCTGGGATTGGTGTTCTGGGAACACGAAGAACACAAAGTGGTTCACAGTTGGCCCCGGGCATTCAAAATGTGGCCTGGGAATGGTGTTCTGGGAACACGAAGAACACGAAATGGCCTACAGTTGGCTCTGGGCAATCAAAGTATGGCCTGGGAATTGTGTTCTGGGAACACGAAGAACACGAAGTGGCCTACAGTTGGCTCCGGGCTATAGAATGGCCTGGGAATGGCGTTCTGGGAACACGAAGAACACGAAGTGGCTTACAGTTGGCTCCGGGCATTTAAAATGTGGCCTGGGAATCGTGTTCTGTTGGCTCCAGGCAGTCAAAATGTAGCTCCTGGCAATAAACATGGTAGGTCCCCGGATTCCCGCGGCACCCGTCCGGCATCTGCCCAGACCCCGCTGGAGAGTCATGATGCTTTCTCTTTTGAGACCACTAGAGACCTATCAGTTTTCCCTGTTAGGTAAAAATGTGAGCCGCGCGCGCGCGCTCAAAGTGCGGAGGAACAACAACGAATCAATCAACACTGGCCTGCTCGCTGCGCCTGGCAAGTAACATCCCTATCATGTCGGAGGCAATTGCTCTGCGGACCGGCTCGGGCTTCAACAACGCCTCCAAGCACGCCAGTGTTATGCTGTCGTGTTCTCAGCGCACCCCCCCCTCCAGGCTGCCGCCAGATGGGTATCT